TTAGCTCTATGCTAGTCTTTGAACTTTTGTATATTCCAGTTTTATGCTAGTTTTGTACTTTATCTATTCTTAGGGCTATGCTAATCTTTGAACTTTGTATATTTCAGCTTTATGCTAGTTTTGTACTTTATCCATTCTTAGCTCTATGCTAGTCTTTGCTAAATTTGTAGCTTTCCAGCTTTATGCTAGTTTTGTACTTTGTTGATTCTTTGCTCTATGCTAGTATTTGAAATTTGTCATTTCTATGCTAGTTTTGTTTATTTTTATTATATAAGCTACGCACTTGCCTGTACATGATGTTAATATTTTTTAATCAGCTTAGATATATTAAATAAATATCTGACATCAGAAAGATGTCAAAGTTTTTCTCCTGGGTTTGGTTAGGTATGGAGAAATTCTTTCATTCTTTCAGGATGTTTTATCAGAACAGGCAAGATTCTTTTAAGATGTTAGTCAGAGATTTTGTTTTGTTGATGATTTTCGCATTATTCTGCCTGATGCTGAACCTCTGCCAGCTTCGTTTTCTTCATTGTTCAATACATTCACATAAAACTGACAAGTCCGATGTCGGGTCTCTTTGATTTATATTGCGAGCCTCTCTTCTTATTGACACGACGAGCCTGATGCTAATTTATTTTTCGAGATAAAAAAAAGTATTCAGAAATGTGATCACTTCCTTATTGAAATTAAGCTTAACCTGATAGCACTATTAGATATTTACTTTATTAATATAAAAATAAGAAATGCCATTCCAGGTCATTATTAAAATGAATTAAAAGTAAATTCTGTGTAGAAACGCAGAATGGCTAATCGCCCGTCCTCATTAAACACTCGTTCTTTGGCTAAGGGGCAATTTTAAGCCTAATGTTTCTGTTATGACCCAGTGAAAGCACATCTGCATATAGAGTGGTATTTTTTTAATCATCATTTCATATCTCTGAGCAGCAGTTGTCGCTAATGGGACAGAGAGAAATCTCATGGCATGTTTTAGTGAAATCCATCGTGGATTGGTCGTGGACGCTGCAGGCTTTTTCTCTAATGGACGGATTGCACTGAACTTGTGAGTTATTGCTGGGTTTAGAGCATCATTTCTGACTTCCAACCTTTTTTGAGCCCTTCATTCACAAATGCATTATTACATTATTACATGCATTATTACTAGGCTTCAAACTCCAAACTGTACAGCCATACAGTAAATTTATTACTACAATTATTTTCTTTTTAATTTTATTTTTTAGTATAATTTCCTGGACCTCCTAGCCTAACAATACAAGTCATTATTTTATGATTAATTATTAATCTAATTTTTATAGTAGCTTTTTAAAATTATTCTGTGTGACTGGAAAATATATATATTTTTCATGTTTCTTTTTAAATTGTAATTATATTAGTTTCCAGGACCTCCTAGGCTAACTAGATGTGTCTTTATGTAATGAGAAATTATTAATTTTATTTTTATAAAAGCATTGTTAAGTATTTTGTGCAAATATTTTTTTTTTTGTTGTTGTTGTATTTTATTTTATTTGAATTTATTTTTAGTTCAGATTCAGAATTATTAATATGTACTGAAAACGTATGCATTTTATTTTATTTATTTCAGTTGTCTTTTCTTTTCTTCTCGACTGAAAACTATTGTTAGTTGGCTTTCCACATCCTCCTAGGCTAACCAGATATGTCATTATGTTCTTAATGTTATTTTTTATTATACCTACAGTATATAGAAATATAGTTTTATAATATTTTATAATAACGAATCTATCATTTATCTATCATTGAAATCAGAAATATATGTATAGGTGAATATAGATGTTAAATTATATTGCATGCAACATTTTTATTGCCTTTTATTTCCTCCCACCTTCTTCATTTTTTAACCAAACGTCTAAGCTGCCTTTTAAATAAAATAGGATACTGATCTTGGTATAACCAAACAAATCATTTTCAGACACAATGCAGGTGAATTATTTAAATTAAAAATAAGTAATAAGTAAAAATAAAAATAAGTGGACATGGGGTACAAAGGAAATCATGTTGGAGAGAATGTTGTTATTTACAGATGCTTCATCGCTGGAAAGCTTCAAGTCTATGAAAGGTTCTGTTTGTTTTATGTGTGATAATTACATTGGTCATGATTAATGAAAGCGAGAAGACAGAGTGAGGAAATTCATCGTATGAGAGGTTATATGGACAGAAGCGCTGCGTGGCCTTTAATGGTCGATAATGATAGAGGAAATGGGCAGGGGCACTAAAGACCTTTATTATATATGAGAGAAAAATGGAACTGGTCGTTAATTATACGAGAGCTCGAATGTGACATTTTTAAAGACATTTAGACCTCAGTGCTATTGAATTCCTGATTATGGTGGGTCAGAAGGTGTTGATTAATTTTCTCTGACCGTAGTGCAGCTACAAATCACAGGTTCATATTAATGCGCTCGTTCTGATACGTTATCGTTTCTATAGCAACGGCTCACTCACAGGGACTCGTACAGCCGATGCTTCTTTTTAAAACGTGCGTAATTTCGGAAAATGGCGACGTCTTAAAGTAAGGAGATTATTTATTTAACAGTCATGGAAGGAGTCTCCAGTGTTAGCATGGTCAACTGTTTGTAATAGTCAGATGTAAGGCTACAACTTTTCTTTACGTTCTCCGTCATCTTTAGGACAAAGGAGTTAACGTTCTTTTGCAGTTTCTCAGTAACATGACAAACTGCTTTCATTTTTTTTTCTTTCTAACTTCATGAGAGAGAGAAAAAAGAGGGGCTGGTGATGGAACGACCGTTAATCGCTGCTATAACAAGTGCTATAAAAAGTTAGCTTTGCGAACTTTAAATTAAATGTAACTAGAAGTGGGTAAAAAGTACTACGTGTTGTTCTTTAATGAATAAAATTATGTAATCATTAGCAGTTTGCGGTGTTATAAGAGGAATAAACCACTGCAGGATGAGTTGTTATAAAAAAAATAATCACAACAGTTGGTATTCCGGCAGCTAGCGTTTAGCATTCGGCTAATTTGTGTCATGCTAGCTAACATTTAAGAGATTAGCAATAAAGCTGTGGTAAGTTAGTGTTAGCTAATGTTTTCCCTCATCTGTTGGTGTAATTTAAAATTGAAGTAGGTCTTTTGTAGATTTTTGTTGATCTTTTGAATTTTGTAGATCTTTTTTTTCTACTTTTGCTTTCATACTTTATTCATTTCTATTTTGACATGAGAGAAGAACTTCTACAAACAAAAAACTAAAGGTTAAAAGAGTTTCTGGTCAGTTGTTGGAAAATTAATCTCGCAGCACTTGTATCTCTGTCAGCTCATTGAACAGCTTTACGCTTGAACTGCGTTCCGAATCACTCGTACGACGTTTCGGCATTAATTTATCTGCCAAATGAATAAACGTAGAATAATTATTGTACGTGTTTAACAATCTGGAAGGTGCTGAGCTGGTCACTGGAAAATTTAATTCATGTAATACAAAAAAAAAAAAAAAAAAAAACAGGCTGGGCAAAGAATAAAATAAAGATCCGTCACAAGTCTTTAGTGTCCAAGGATTCTAACAGAGCTCAGGCTTTAATGGTCATTTCCTGAAAGCGTCCGGTTCTGCTGAAAATGACCCGAGAAGGTTTAATAAGAAACGATTCTGTATCTTTGAAGGTCAATGTTTTTTTTTTTTATCTTCATCTCTTTTTTTAGGCTCAGCAAAATAAGCTCTTCTGTTTTTATCCTTGAAAATCTAAAGGTTAAAATGTGGGTGATTTTTTTTTTTTTTTTGGTGCTCAGTAGTACTTGGTGTCCTTGGAAGTACCTTTCTGAATGTTAACAGCTAAGTTAAGCATGAAAACATTTTGCTGGCTGGTCTGAATGATGTCATGAAGCATAAGCTGTTTCTCTTGTTCTTTCTTTCTTCCTTTCTATCTTTCTTTCTTTCTAGTGGACCCTTGTCCATAGGGACAGAGCCCCACCGAATATATATCTAATTACCTCTTTTGAGTGACCAGCAATTTAAAAACGTTACTATTTGACAGATATAAGCCAGTGTTTTCTTGATTTGCTCACCTTTCTAGAGGTCGCACAACTGTAGCTGTAACATTTAGCTCCATATAGTGGAGGCAGTCGTGGCCTAATGGTTAGAGAGTCGGCCTTACAACCTGAAGGTTGCGGGTTTGAGCCTCAGGTCAGCAGGAGTTGTAGGGGCAATACCACGACTGAGGTGAGACCCTTGAGCAAGGCACCGAACCCCCAAGTGCTTCCTGGGTGCTGCAGCAAAAAAGGCTGCCCAATGCTCTGGGCTCACTACTGTGTGTGTGTGCACTTGGATGAGTTAAATGCAGAGCACAAATTCTGAGTATTGGGTCACCATACTTGGCCACATGTCACATCACTTCATATTGACATTATTACACCTAGGGAACTGCAACAAGTGCTAATAGAGATCAGTGACTATCGAAACAGCAGATTAAATGTAAAGCTAAAATGTCTCTGACTCTGGTCCTCTAGTGGCTGGCTGCAGTGCAATTTTTAACCCCGCCCATTCCCAAGTAAGAATGAGCCAAAGTTACATTTTACTTAATAATCAAAAGTTCAGTTGACCTTAATATCTCCCTTGATATTTCTCCTTGCGATACCTACGTTTAATAGGAGTTATTTGGTGATAAATAAAAGGGCGTGGTTGATGAGGTGATTGACAGTTTTGGCCATTACAGTCAAGCTTCATGAACACGCACGCACTTTCCAATGCATGCCTGAAGCTCTTGATGGTTCTGGAGCAAAGCCATGTCTTGTTCTGCTGTAAACTGTCATAACAGACACTCAGAGGGGAGTTCTTTGCAGTTGTTTTGGTACGTTGCTCATTTTGATGTCTAAGCTAGCTCATAATGGCATAAACAAAGGTAGCTAACACTAGCTACATTTCATAATAATTTACTATTTACGGTATGACCGTAGCTAATACTCGAAGTAGCTTGGTAAGTTTAGCCAGTCTCTCCTTTTTAAATGGCCACCATTTATGTCCCTGGTGGTCTAGCGGCTAAGGCTCCTGTGCTCTCATCGCCGTGGCTCAGGTTTGATTCCTGGGCAGGCAAGCAATCCAGCCACTGGGAGTGAACTCTCAGTGCCGGTTCCAAGCCCGGATAAATTGTGAGAGTTGTGTCAGGAAGGGCATCTGACGTACAAACTGTGCCAAATGAAACATGCAGACCAATTATCTAATGGGAGCAGCCGAAAGAACAACGATGCTACCTAGCATGTCAGCTAGCTACAATAGCAAATGATAGCTCAGTCAGTCATCACTCATAGCTCTAAAATCTTTTCCTGACAACTGTAAAATCAATATACCTGCACAAATTATATGACCACAGTTTAACATTTTACATATTAATTAATACATCTTTACTTAACACTTTGAGCTAGCATTCAAAGTTCAGGTAATATCCCTGAGCGTGTTCGCTCCCTGCATGAAGAACAACCAATATGGTGGGTGAGACGTGAACTTACAGACTGACCAACAGCACTGCTGTCTACTGTACAGACTCTGGTTCCAATTCGGCCGACTGTGCAAAGTCAGTCAAGAGGGCAACTTTCAATTCGACCAAATAGGCTTCAGAATCGCACAATGGGAGTCAATGGCGCCACATTGTCCACTCATATACAGTATACAGTCACTGATAGAGATGCACTGGGGCAGGAATCATGCTGCCCGATGATCACTCTATGAACAATTTCACTTGCAGAAGGCAGGACAGGTCATGACAGGGTTGCCAGATTGGGCTAGGGCAATAACACTCTGCAGTTGCCAAGATCTTGTTTTATAGAAACTAATCAGAATTAAATCTAATATATTTCAAACAAATGCAGACATTGTGTCTATGATGTACAGCACCATTTCTACTGGGAGGGAAAGGGGGATTATGAGTGGATAATGTCCGTACATCAGAAATGCACGTGCACCACCGTGACCTTGTTTTCTCACGCAAAAAGAAAAACGTGTCTCCCTTTTCCAAAATATTTGGGCTAGTTTCTTGTGTTTGGTTTTTGAGATGTAGCTAGACTGGAAATGTTGCTGAGCTTTTTCTTTCTTTCTTACTTTCTCTTTCTTTCTTTTGTTTAATGGTTTAATTAATTTATACACAGCAGTTTCTTTCGTTTCATTTCGTTTTTTATTCTCGTCCTCTGCATTCTCCACTTCTTTTGCGCCAAATGCAAATTTCACATAAAAGCTCTGTGATGTGAAGCTGCACTTGAGAGACGAAGTGTATTTCATGTCCTTTTTCATGTTCATTTCCCCTCAGTGAATCCTCATATGTATGTACAGTATATCGCTGGCAGTGACATTGAGGTTAACTGCTGAGAGGTTGTAAAAGCAGCAGAAACACAAATGAGTAAAATGATCTCTTAGGAAGCATATATATATATATATATATATATATATACACACACACACACACACACACACACACACACACACAAGTATGTGGACACCTGACCACCTGACCATCACAATCATATGTACTTGTTGATCATCCCATTCCAGATTTATTCCCCCTTTGCTGTTATAATGAGCTCCATTCTTCTGTGAAGTCTTTCCACTAGATGTTGGAGTGTGTCTGTGGGGATTTGTGTTCATTCAGCTACAAGAGCATTAGCGAGATCAGGCGCTGATGTTGGGATGTCGAGGAGGTCTGGGGTGCAGTCGGTGTTCCAGTTCATCCCAAAGGTGTTCAGTGGGGTTGAGGTCAGGGCTCTGTGCAGGACCCTCGAGTTCTTCCACTCCAACCTTCACACACCATGTCTTCATGGAGCTCGTTTTGTGCACAGGAGCATCGTCATGCTGGAACAGAGTTTGAGCCTCTTAGGTCCAATGAAGGGAAACTGTAAAGCTATAGCACACAAAGACATTCTATACAATTGTGTGTGTCCAGCTTTGTGTTAACAGTTTGGGGAAGAACCACATATGGGTGTGATGTTCAGGGGTTCACATACAGTGTATATATGAAACATCTGGGCAAAACATTTCCTTTTTGTCTGTGCTTCACTTCACTTTCTGCATAAATCTACTCTCTCACTTCAGCAAACACTGTTTTATGCTTTTGTACTGTTATAGATCTTTGCTTCCTTCTGTAATTTTCTTTCTTTTTGTTTCATTTATTTATTTGTTTGTTTTTTATGTTCCTCTTCTTTTTACTTCCCTTTTTTTCGGATTACTTCCTTTCTAAACTTTTAGACTATTACAGAATCCTTCCTTCATTCACTATTTCTGCACTTTCTGTCTTTCTATTTCTTTCTTCACTTCTTTTGTTCATTCGCTCGTCCTTCCGGATGTTGGAGCAGAAGAAGCGCTACCTCTTAGGAACATGAGTTGTTTTTTTTTCTTTCTGCGCTTCCCTTCACCATTTTGTTTCTATACAAATCTTTCCATCTTGTTTCGATGAAGAGCTGCGATGGAGGTGTTGCATTAGAACGTGGGAACCGAGTCGACCCTGAGATTTTCAGCCTTGGTTGCTGGATATAGACTCTCTGAGCACGAGCCAGTGCTGAGGAGAAGAGTGTGTAGGGTGTGGAGGGCGAGCGAAGATTCAAGGTGATTTCTGAGCCACAGGCGCTTCTGAGATTTATAATTGAAAACGAGGCACATGAGGAGGCGTGTACTCCGCTCGGAGCTGCTGTACGGGTTCATACTGAGTCATGTTTTTTTTTTTAAATAATTACTGAGACTGCTTTCAGATATCAACCTCCTTGTTTTATGATAAAAAAAAACAGGTGATGAGGTTCTACTGCTTTTATTTAATTAGATATTTTACTTCCCCTGATTACAACCGTCAGTCTGATGGAAATTAAAGCAGCCTGATTGGATGAAGTGAATGAATAATGCATAAATAAATAAATCAACAAACACAAACAAACATAAATTATGGAATAAATTATGGAGACAAACAGTGTCAGTCAAGAGACGAGACAGTTTTGCTTTTCTTTCTTTCTTTCTTTCTTTCTTTCTTTCTTTCTTTCTTTCAGTTATTGTTATGTTCTTTTTCCTTTGCAACTCTCTTTTTCTGATTCTTTTTTTCTTTGTTTCATTTATTAATCTGTTTATAGATCTATTTATTTATTTGACTGACTTTCTATTTGTTTCTTTATTTATGCTTTTTCTTCCTTTACTTGCTTTGTTTTCTTTCTTTCTTTTTAGATTTATTTATTTATTTATTTCCCTTTTTTTTTAACTTTTTCCTTCACTCTTTTTATCCCCTATTTATGATTTCCCTCTTCTTTCTTTCTTTCTTTCTTTCTTTCTTTCTTTCTTTCTTTCATCCCTCCAAATGTAAACAGACATTAAACAGACATTTGAAAAAGGTAGAAACATACCAGGGAAGTGTCCCTGTAAATAAATGGAGCTTACGTGCGTTTGCTCTCGTGTAATAAATGTTCCTACAGAGCAAACACATTTCTACTGGCTGCTATTTGTGTATCTGTGTGTGAGCACTAGCTGTCAATTTCTCCGATGTGTCTTACAAGTTCGGCGATTAATCACCGTAATGAGCTACTGGACTTAGATGGAGAGAGGTGAAAGAGAAGAATCATAATGGTCATGAACAATGTTAGATGAACAATTATAAAGACATTCGGGGAAGGTTGAGACGCCGTGTCCTTTCCATCTGATGTCAAGAACCTCACCTGTTCTCCATCCATCAAGTATAATTCCTGCGTTTATGGCTCGGCTAATAACGATCAGAGAGACAGGTGTTAAATCTCAGGTGGTACGTTCCACTACACTGAGCACGGCTGTGGCCTTGAACCTTGAACAAAGCACTGAACCTGAAATTCACCAGGACAAAAAAAACCATCATTTTATCTCCAGCATCTTATTTCTTCTCTCTATGAGAGTTCCTAGAGAGTCCCATGCTTTCCTCTTATCCTGTCATATATGACCATTAAATGTGTATAGAGACACTACAAAGGAAAATAAAGCTTAGAGGGATGTAGCAGAGATCATTCGTGCCTCTGGTGAGTGTTTGTATCTAGTACAGTTAGCTTGTGCTGCCAATCTGCTAATAGCTAATACAAAACCGAGCATGTAACATGTAAATCAAACAACCAATTTTCATCCTGAATAGTGCATTATTAAATTTGTGTTTAACAAGTTAGAAGAAATGTATACATACACTATATTACCAAAAGTATTCGGTCACCCATCCAAATGATCAGAATCAGGTGTCCTAATCACTTGGCCTGGCCACAGGTGTATAAAATCAAGCACTTAGGCATGCAGACTGTTTTTACAAACATTTGTGAAAGAATGGGCCGCTCTCAGGAGCTCAGTGAATTCCAGCGTGTTCCAGCGTGTTATCATAGGATGCCACCTGTGCAACAAATCCAGTCGTGAAATTTCCTCGCTCCTAAATATTCCACAGTCAACTGTCAGCTTTATCATAACAAAATGGAAGAGTTTGGGAACAACAGCAACTCAGCCACGAAGTGGTAGGCCACGTAAACTGACGGAGAGGGGTCAGCGGATGCTGAAGCGCATAGTGCAAAGAGGTCGT